AATATGATTATGTACCAACTCTCCATGATAAATGTATTTGTTATGTATATTTATTAATGAATATAATGCCTTAAATGACCAGTTATAAAGCCATTTTTAAATTTCATTCCAACTGGAAGACTGTTCAGTTGGCCTTATATATCCCCAGATTCCACATGTTGCACTTTACCAAATGTCCTACACTTTTTTTTTTTGGCAGAACCCAGGGATTGAACTCAGGCCCTTGCACTTGCCAGGCAAGTGCTTATTCTACTGAGCCATCTCCCTGGCCCCCCAAAAATTTTTAACTGATCCAAAAACATATAAAAATTATATGCATTTATGGGGTACCGCATGACATTTCAGTGTGTGTATATATATATTGGACGCTGTTTAAATCAGGATAAATAAATCTATTTTCTCAAACATTTATTATTTCTTTAGGGTGAAATAGTCAAAATAATTTCTTTCATCTTTTTGAATTATATAGTATGAGATCATCCGCTTGGCCATCCTACTGTGGTACTACCAACTTCTAAGACATGCACTCATTTCAATTCCACTCCTAGGAGCATATCTTAGGTAAATGCCTAAAATGAGCTCAAACAGGCAGTTAGTTGGTTGCTCACAATAGCATCATTTATAAAAAGTAAAATACTGGAAATATTTCATTTATTTTTACTTATTTATTTTTTATATGTATTTGGTACAGAGTCTTACTTTGGTATATGATCTCACCAAAACACAAGTCAGGACAGGGTAACAGAGGATTTACCCACGTAAGTTTCCGGCAGATAGGTTAGTTTGGAGCCTGGCTCCTGTGGCTTGATTTCTATCTCATCTCGTCAGGTTGTTCGTTTTCCTTGAGTGCCAGCAGTGACTAAGGAAGTCATAAAGCCCTGCTTTGACCAGGGTCTGTGCTAGCTTCTTTGTTGTAATCTTATGCCACTCGGACTCATAGTGATCCTCCTGTTTTTAATACCTCCCCCCAGCGCTGGGATTATAGACATGCACCATTGCACCCAGTCTTGGTGGCCAGCTCAGCATGCCCAGAGGTGGGGCCAGCGCAGCACACCGTACCAGGGATTGAACCCTAGTACCAAGCGCTTAGTCCACTGAGCTATCTCACCAGCCCTACCAGAAGAGGAATGGTTCATCAAAGTAGGGAGTATCCAGACAATGCAATATTAGGTACAAATCATGATTAGCTCTATACAAGTTTCTGAAATTATGAAACTCGTCTATAATCCATGCTGTAAGGAATTTATATTTAAATTTAAATAGCTATTTTTTGGGATGGCACAAACTCAAGTGTATCATTCCATAACATAAGGTTATGACAAAAAGTAAGTTCCACACAATGTATATGATCTCACTGTTTAAATCTTTAATGGGTGGGGGATATAGCTTAGCAGCATAAGGCCTGCCTGGCAAGTGCAAGGTCCAGAGTTCGATCCCTGGTACCAAAAAATAAATAAGTAGGGGCTGGTGAGATGGCTCAGCGATCTAAAGCACCTATTTAGAACAAGCTAAGCTAAGCAAAGCACAGGGACCGCGGTTCAATCCCCCAGCACCACATGCCAGCCAGCCC